TGTCTTTCATTTTGACACGCAGAAAAATGTTTTAATAAACATAGATACTGTATGTTAAATGGATATATCCGCCTTCTTTCATTTATCTTTCCATTCCCACAACAATATACATAAATAAATGGCATATTTTGGACATAGTTCGAATGGTGATTAATCATGATTAATTAATTTTAAAGCTGTGATTAATCTGATTAAAAATTTGAATCGTTTGACAGCCCTAGTTTTAATGCAAGAAAATAGGAAAAATGGCAAGGGGGGTGAATACTTTCGCAAGGCACTGTATGTGATAGACAGTGAGGAAAGTCCAGTGCACAATAAGGATAAAGTGCTTTGCTTTGGTAAAGTGCTAGTCTAGTTTTAGGGAGCCATTTGGCAAAAAGGTTGTGAAAATCACAATGTAAAACGATTTCTGAATGCACCTGAATAAACAACAATTGGCTCCAGTGTAAAGATTTGAATAAGTATTCAGTTTAGTCATTGAACACACACACATTGGTCAGTGGGCAAACGTTTGAATAAATGGCCGATTTCATGCGGAACAGGCAAGGTATGTCCAGATGAAATCATAAACGTCTTGATATGAATGCACTTATGAAGATTACGCTTTATCTTTGTGGTATTCCAATGTGGATAATTTTTTCCATTCCCCAGCAAGGAAGGCCTCCACTTCCTCCTCTTATGCAAGAGTGGGTGTTGGGCCTGTCTGTTGACCATGAATGGGCCTTTGTGAGCACCAGTCAGACTGTGGCATTCATTTAACACAGGCCTGTGGCTGGAATAGTGAATCAAAAAAGAATCAATTATATCCTTTAAATGGCATTTTTGTTGAATAGATTAGCTGACAGCCATAACATATGCAGATGTTCCTCTTTCTTTGTCTTGCCTGCTGTTATGCAAGCCACTTTGTTTTCATGTGGCATATTTATTTTATTTACAGAAAGTCCCAAACCCTTCCCCTCCGGCTCCCACAGTAATTGAAGCAGATTCAGTTTGACCCCAAGCTTGTTAAGCACTCATCTGATAACCTTCAGCAGGAAAATGTTTAACTGTAAGAGGGCGGATAAGGGGTTTTAGATCGCTGATATAATATGATGTTTTTCACAAAATCTGATATTGTCTGTAGATAGCAATCTTACAAATTGAGCCTAAAGTGCCTTAAATTGTTGTTCTTGTTGAGTGGAAAAGCACTTAACAGCATTTAATCCTTTAAACTCTGCATTGAAACGAGGTCAATGCAACTTATATTGTTGTACTACTGTTTGAAATTAAAATCAATGTTTTGATAGCATAATGTACCTTAAACATACCGTCAGTTTAAATGCTGTTTTATACTGAAAAACCAGAAGTCCTTGTGCACAACCAGTTGTTAAGCTTTTATTCTGAAAATCCTTCATGACGACATCCGGGACTACCGCCCATTAGTATCATTAAAGGGAGACAGGAGACCACCCCCCCCATGATGAGAAACTGTAAGAAATGATCGGAGAATCCCTCCGGAGTGGAGTCATGACAACTGGATCTGAATTGTTTTCGTGGTTTGTGTTCCAGCTGTCGATCAGCTGTGCGCAGCGCCCCCCCCCCCCTCCCCCTCCCCGCAGCAACTCTATATCCACCAGTTAAAGGAAATAAAACAAATGTGTTGTGTTATATTAGCTGTACAATTGACCAAATATGGTGTTCTTACTTTCCGCTGTGTTTTACGAGCGACAAAACATGATAGTATATAAACCATGCTCGTATCTATGCAACCTATAGAAATGCAAAACGGCGTCAGTTTAAAGTAATTCTGTCCTCCTGCTTACCGCATCATTTATGAGAATACATTTCTTAACAGGAGAACATCATCGAGGGGTGATCAATAACATTTCCGTATTTATTTATTTCTCCAAGTTATGTTTTTGTGTGCACTGAGGAGTCTCAAGCAGGCGTTTGTTTACGCTGTATCCAGGGCTGCTTCTCAGGTCGATTAAATGAAATCCTTGCTTCCCTCACTTGCGTCGTTTCCCTGCGTCTAGTCCCTCCCACCAGGGAAGCATGGAGAGACGCAAGGAAACCACGAGAAGCAGGGAAATGAGTTTTAAGAGCAATGGGACGTCCTTTCCTCCGGAGCGTCACGTGAAGCGACGTCCGTTTGTGATGACGCTGCACAGCTGTTCGTCTGACAGCAGCTCTGTACCCGTTATTTCCACAAACACCCCCGACTCTGTTAGTACACATTCACTGACACAAACATTTGTATCATCTGTTGTAGATCCAAATACATGAAATAAAATAAGAAGTAATTCTCAAAAAAGATAAACGCCATTCTTAAAATGTATTTAAACGAACAATAGTTTGATTAATATTCATTAGAGTGCACAATAGGAATACAATTATTCAGAGAACAAAAACAGATATGTTATCTATCAAAACCCAGTTAGATTAACATTCATTGGACTGCACACTTTGTTTGTTTGTGTGGAGCAAATCAACATTTTAAATAGGACCTAATGACTGCGGTTTGGCAGCTGAATTAAAAGCTAAGCAGGTCAGTGAAAAACTACAAGCTGAAACCCATTAAGGTAATTTAGGAAGAAGGTTCCAATATACATGTTGGATAGAAAGAGGTTTAACCTTTCCAAACACAACATGTCTGATGCCATGGCGTGCATTGCAGTAGGCCTTGATGTATATAATGCGCTCCTGCAAGAGGAGCAGGAGCAGTCCAGGTGCCGTCGGGCACGACTACAACAGGCTATTGGTTTCATGGAGGTAAGCATCACTAGTCTGTTGCAGTATGAATGGTTTCACCAACAACAGCAATTTCATGTAAGTTCATTCATTGTCAGTTTAATAAAAGCTAGGTGCTGAAGGCAACATGTATCTTTATTTTGCAGACGGATGTCGATCCCATAGCCATTTTAAACCCTCGTGTGCCAGTCCTTGCTGTGTTCTTTGATGGCCAGAAGGACCTCATGCAGGACTACAGACTGGGGCGCCAGTCACTGGAGGCCCTGCTGAGGATCCTGCCATCAAAGAACACACAAGGCTGGTCACATGAGGTGAATATTTTAATTACCCTTTATTGGTTGGCACACGGCTTGTCATACAGTGTGGTGTCCCGGGCCTTTGATGTCCCCAAGTCCACCGTCTGCAGACTGGTGCACACTGGAGTACAACAAATTGCAGCCCTTCGCCAGGAGGTCATCAAACTGCCCCCCCCTGGAGAACTGGAGGAGGTTGGCCAAGAGTTTGCAAGGCTGGCCAACAGCCCAGTAATCTCCAGGTGTGTGGGGGCCATTGATGGCTGCCATGTCCGCATAAAGACCCCCCAGGACCTCTGGGCCAGGATTACCTCAACAGGAAGCTCTTCCCATCCATACAATTGCAGGCAGTGTGTGATGGGAAGGGCTTCTTTCTCAACACCTTTGTTGGGTATCCTGGCTCAGTCCATGACACCAGAGTCCTGAAGAACAGCGCAATTTACAAACAGGCTCTGTATCCTCCCTCAGGTGACACCAAATATTCTTGTTAATACATCAAAATCCATCAATGACTGTTAGTATACTAAATATGTTCTCTCTCTTTTTAGGATTCTTCCTTTTGGGTGATGGTGGCTACCCCTGCATGGAAGGACCTGTGGCCCTCATCACCCCATAACCACTGCAAGGGAGGGTGCAGAGCCGCTTCAACCAGCATCATGCTAGGGCTCGCTCCATCATAGAGCGGGCCTTTGGCAGGATGAAAAGCAGGTGGAGATTGCTGTTCTTCAAGGCTCTGGAGGTCCACCACACCTTTGTCCCCTCAGTCATCACTGCCTGTGCAGTGCTCCATAACATCTGCCTCACAGCGGGGGACATCCTGGAGCCTGAAGAGGATGTTGGGGACATTGGTGTGGTTCCACCACGTCTGGTGAGGGGGGATCGAGGCGGACATGGCCAGCGAGACCGACTGGCAGGGCTGCTCTCTGCTCCATGTGTGCAACCAGTTGAACTACAAGAACATGATTATTTGTAGGACTTGGGGACACGAAGGCCTTGGACACCACACTGTGTGAAAAGCTGTGTGCCTTCATTTGCGGTTTATTGCGTTGTGATGTTTATAATTTAACAAATAAAGGAACAATGTTTTGACAAACAAAGTGTATCTCAATGGAACAATAACAACGTTGCAAAAACTTAGAAACAAAATCATTTATTTACCAATTTCTCAAATAAATCCAAAAATCTTTTTGTGTTAGCCTGATTGGCCTCAAAGCGTTCCTGCTCTCGTTGGGCCTCCTCTTTGAGAAACTCTAATAGGGCCCCCCTACTTGCCCTCTTCTTCTTGGCAGGCGGGGGACTGAGAGAGGTGGATGGCTCTTCATCCAGTGTAGTGGTGCTGCTACTTGTGCCAGGCTGCCCAGGATCCTCCTCTTCCTCCATTGCCTGGCCACAAGGAGCGGCCCCAGCTCCACTGGATGAAGAGCCAATCCCACTGGGGGCCACGTCAGCCGAGTCCATCAGGACTGGAGGCTCCATGGAGGGCCGACTCCCAATGACTTCATGCATCAGGGAAAACCACGGCCATGTGGCTGCCGTGGCCTCCCCCGCATCTGTCCCCGTCCCTGTAGGGGGGGTTTTCAGCTCCTGGGAGACAACAAGGAATGTAAGAGTCAGATGAAGACACAATAGAAATAGCTGCATTGTATGCATCTAGAAATACAATATCTCACCTTATATTTGCGTTTGAGGTTGTCCCACTGTTTTGCCAGTTGGGTGGGAGTGAGCAACTCCTCCAACTCCATCTTCTGCAGAACCTCTCTGTGGAGTAAACCATTTTTTAAATTATAGCATCCAGGCATGCAAAGTCTGATTACTTCTGACAATATGCTTCATGCATAATAATTCCATGACACACTCAGGTTCACTGTGGTTCATTCACAGTAGTGGTTACTTTGATTATCATACCATGCACCAAAACAACATTGTCAAACAACTCATGTAGAACTGTAGCTCACCCCCAGGCCTTCTTGGCTGTAACCTCTTTCCTGTAAACAGGTGCTCATTGTCAGTCCTCTGTAGAATGAGGGCTCTGGTTTGGGCCTCCGTCCCTGTTTAAGGAGAATTATGTTATACATACATCAGCAAAAGGAAACCTTAAGCCATTAACATTTCACTCACATAATGCTGCATATAAATGACAGCTTAATTATTGAATTGAGCCGATTTGAATGTATTGAATTATTTATTACAAATTCATTGTGACTGCCAGCCAAATGAATGATGGTACCTTAGTTACGTCTGTATGTGGCAGGTAGCCTAGTTAAGTGAAGAAACAAGTGGTTTCCAACCGAAATATGTCCGATAAATAACGAATGCTGCGTGTGTACGCACGTTATGTAGCCTATTGCAAATCTTGCCTTTAGTTGGGCATTTCACATGAACATTGTTGAGAAAATATAAAGCGTTCAATAACAGACATATGAGTTGTGGGTTAAATACATGTGAACAGATGTTGCATTATCGTAACGGTATCGTTGTAGGCATACAAATAACATGAAGTAATAGGTACTTACACTTGTGTAGTTTTTCTGCCGCCATGTCTTTCAAATGTGCCAGCTGCATGCTGGAGGCAGGGCTTTTAAACCGAGTGAAATCAAGGATTCATGCCTCAGCTGTGACTGAATGGAAATGACAATGAATGAAACTGTAAAACGAAAAAAGCGATCATGAAAATGTTTCCAATAATGATTTTTGACCACTTTTGTTCAGATCACATATTTGTAACTAAATGATACATTAATTGAAACAAAACACAGTATAAACTGAGGAGTGAGTCCCGTGAGGTTCACGTATTTTCTTCACTCCGCTGGGGTATTGCTCTCATGTCAAGAAGCATCAGATCAGTGCATGCACTGCCTCGTCCAATCAGTGAGCGATACACAGTAAGGGGGTGGGGCGAGTGTCTGAGGATTTCATCGGAGGATGGTCTGGTGGTTCCTCGGTTATCGCTCCTCGGTCCTCGATCCTCCGGCAGAAATAAGAGCCATGGGACGGTACTCAAGATGGCGCAGGCAAATCAACTTCCGGTGAGACCGAGGAGCGAGGAAATGAAAATAGTCGACCTGAGAAGCAGCCCAGTTCTTATTATACATCCATGGGATTTACCGACACAGTACAAACCGGAAGTCGTACAGCGAAATACAGTTATGCACAGAGCTTGCATACGTGTTAATCTCTATAAACGCATATCTGCATGTGAATGCAGAAATAAACATATCCTCGTCAGACTTCTGGGTTCCAGGATTTAACTTTTACAGCATTGCCATTATATCCTTGTGTCTTTTATTTTGAAAGATGTTCTTATCAAAAACCGGACCGTTTTGTTAATTAGGTCTTCTTGTTATCCCTTTTAAGATTTGGTTTCCCGGTTTTTTCGTTTTAAATAATAAACTAAAAAAGGCTAGTATTTTCGTTTTTTGGCTTTTGGTTCAAACGAAAAATCCAACTGACAAAAAGTACACCCTTGAAACACTGGAACTTGAAAAGGCCTGAAGGTCAAGCTGTCGACTTGTGTATATGACAAGAGCAGTGCGTTTGGTATTTGAATGAAAACACATTAACATCCTGGACATTTGGAATACATTTTACTGCTGAAGGAACATTTTTTCTATTTTTGTTATATTTTAAATTGTGATGCTCGTTAGCTTTTTTAGCCTTTTCTGACCGGTTGACTTTCAAGTGTTTCTTCAATGTTCCTTCAGTGGAAACAGAGGTCACACAATTGGCCCTTACTTTGTAATGATATTGATAATAATGTATAATATAGGGAGGCGTGTGGCGCAGAGCAATAGTACGTTGGTGTTCGGATCAGGGGAGCACAGGTTCAAACCCCACTGCAGTCAGCATGTCGTTGTGTCCCTGAGACACTTCACCCCAAATGGCTCCTGTGGGGATTGTCCACAGTATTGAGTATGTAAGTCGCTTTGGATAAAAGCGTCTAACAAGTGACATGTAATGTAATGAAACTAGTTAACCAAGGCTGCTAATAGATCATAGCTCATGTATTAGTCCCAAACTATGGGATGTTGTCTTTCATAGTAACATCCCTATCGTCCATGCATTGCACTGACACCAAACTGAATAAAAAAATGTCTTATACTCTTTTGGAAACATGGTCTGATCAAATAGACCACCTTATTAGGTTAATATCTAATTAAGGTATTTTGATAACCGTCTACTCAAAGAGCCATCTTTCAAAAAATGACATCAATGTTTCAAGTATATTTTAGATGCTGTGGTAAGAATAACTAACAGGCATTTCTCACATTATAACTGATCTGCTATTTTAAATTCCCATTCAAATGTGGTTTTTATTGATGCTTTCTGCTGCAAGTACACACCTTTGGGTGGTCCCAGTCAACCTCTACCAATCATCCACATGTAAGTGTGTGTCCCTAAAGGCCCTGTCACACTGTCCCAAAATTGACACACGATGGACACACGATAAAGGAAATGTTCAAATTCGGCTGTGATCGTAGCAACATCGGGCCATTCGTGAGGGCATCTTAAGCCATCGTATGACCGCCGGTGGAGTTTCTCAGGCTCCGGCAGCAACTTAGTGAGCGGCAACTTCGTAAGGCACTCGTGAGGATATCTTGTCAAATCGTGTCATCTTCGTGTTATCATCGGTGCCATCGGGCATTCGCCCTCACTCTGATCGGGGCGAATGCCCGATGGCACCGATGATAACACGATGCCCTCACGATGGCCTTACGAAGGGCACAATTGACACACGAATTCAACACGAAAATGAACCTTCGCAAGGTCCTTCGGCAATTTTTTGGCATGCCAAAGATTTTGCCACCGCTCACGAAGTTGCTGCCGGAGCCTGAGAAACTCCACCGGCGGTCATACGAAGGCTTAAGATGCCCTCACGAATGGCCCGATGTTGTTACGATCACAGCCGAATTTGAAAATGTCCTTTATCGTGTGTCCATCGGGTTGTTTTATTGCACAACAAAATCATGTAAATATATTATGTAAATAACCCAATTTGTGTTCTGTGAAACTAAAAAGGATATAATATATTATTTTGAAGGACAGTTAACAGGAAGTTGTTGTTGTTATGGAAACAACATTACGGAGAAAACGTAATATTTTCTACATATAACGACGGATAAAGTAAAGAACAAAGTCTGAAGATATCAGTACAGTATCATAGTACTGTAACATAATTGTTTTTGGTACTTTCATTGCAGTTGTATGTCTTAAATGTAATGTAAATGTTGCCTTCGTGTGTGGTTCGGGGCCATCTTCGTGCGAAATTCACAATTCCATATTCGTGTGTCCATCGGGTGTCAATTTCGGGACAGTGTGACAGGGCCTTTAACCGTGTGTGTTTTCATCCTCACGCTTGTGTCTGCCATGCCTCGTTAGCCATGTAACTCATAAAGCTGTCACAGCTTCACAGCTCACAGGAGCGCTAATGATTCTAACAGCGCTCCTCAGCCACAGTGCATGATGGGACGCTATCTGAGAGCGGGAGACAGCATACTTTTATTCAATAGAGGGCAAAGTGGGCAGACAGAGGAAGGATGATGGAGAGAATGAGGAAGCAGAGCATGAGGAGTTTTGAATATGTTCAGGGTGAAGGGGAGAGGGGTGTAGACAGCGAAGGACTTGTATTCAATAGAGGGCATGGCAAGTCAGAGGAAGAGCAGGAAGAGGAGATAGACTGTGTCGAGGTGTGGGACAACACTTGTAATCCCATTAATCCACTGTATACAGAAAGGCTGATAAGAACTAGTATTATATGAGTCACATAGCAAGTTAGGAGGACCGAAGAAAGCGTATTTATGGTTCTTCTTCAATCAAAACAGATTTTCATTTGAAAAAGGTTTAAGGTACTGTATGTATTCAGACATTTAATGCATAGAAATGTGTATGCCTGCATCAAGAAATCGAATATAAATGTCACAAAAAACATACCATATAAAATGTCTCAATGGGAATAACAAAGCTGCTGTTGGCAGACAATTAGCTTAGCCTAGCATAAAGATTGGAATATTTGGAAACAGCTAGCCGAGCTCTGCCCTATTGCTGCACAAAGCCAACATATAGGCAGTTGGTGTTTTCTACAGAATATACCAATTGGATTTAATGGAACAGTTTATTTCAGAACTTTTTAGTATCTAGTTGGTAGATTTTGTCACAAAGACAGAGCTAGCCTAAGCTAACCTTGGCTGGTAACTCCTGATCGATTTCACTGTACGACAGTTTTGGAAATGAGCTTGTTAGCTAATCTTGCAAACTCAAAGTTATTTTTATATTATGCAGACTATGCAGAATGTATAGGCTAAGTCTGTGCAGACTACTTTGTTAGTAATGTGTTGTTCCACCACCTGCAGCACAAATGCAGAGTGTGTGTGTTCTTTAGTAAATGCTTTAAAAAAACGGTCTCTCTCCTCATTGCAATTAACTGGAAGATTGCAAAAGTAAACACGAGTTGATGATATATGTTTTTATTTGCGTTTACTTAGGTCATCCAATTTATAATGTCTTTTCCACTTCTGGAATGCAGCTTGGACCCAGTGGGATTTCAGCATTCACAAATCATTTCACAGCATTTACCTCAGTATTCTAGTGAAATATGTGATATAACGCAACTTTGTCACTGTCCTGTCAACTGCTGCATTTTAAATAACAAACCTCACCCCCATGAACTCACCCCGTGTTACCTTTCATTCCCAAAGGAACTTCAGCCTTTCTTGCATGCCTTCATGCTGAACAACTAGCTTGAAGTGAAAATGTACAACATTTCACATAAATAGTTCAGTTATATGTATTTGCATGTTTTTGAAGTATGCTCACTATTTCCCCAAACATATATAGCTGTCTGTATACTTTCAGATACATTTGATAGATAATTATACATTAAATTGGCAAGAACGTTATGTTCTCAGGTACTAACAGTAATCCCTTGTGGCAGAATGCATCTGCAGGTCAGCGGATTGAATGAGAACAGCATTTCCTTATCTTACCTCAGGTCCGCTGAGCCTTTGTGTTTCTGAGTGCAGACCAAAGTTCAAAGCTCCCTGCCGTCGACAGTTTTGAACTCCAGGGCAGATTTTTGTGCAAAGAGTGTTTTTGCTTCAATATAATGGATGTAAAACCATCTGCTCTCCAGCCTGCAGCTCCCAGCAGGGAAACGCCCTCCTGTTGTTTCACTAAACCTCCAGTAAGTGCATGACACTCACGTATTGAGTCAGGAGCGACAAATGTTAGTTGGGTATAGGGTTACAAGATAATTCATCTGATCTTCCTCGTTGTTACACTTTATGGGAATGTTTGATTTGAGTGAATGGATCATTGTTGGTGAAATTGTAAGAAACTAAAACAGAAAATCCAGTCAAACTGTAGCTGAGGCACCAGTTAGCGAGTCGTACGCAGGGAATGACCCCAGCAGGCAGGAACGACGTTTCGTACATTTATTTTGAGTCTAGTTTTCCGAGCCCCCTTTCTCTGGAGCAACTTCCTGTTTTCATCCGGGAGGCAGACAGAGTCCAACATGTTTACTTAATAAATGACTTAGAGCTGGTTTCAGATTCCCCTGTTTGTCCTCCTGTGTCCTACATGTATTTACAAATACAGTTGTTGTATTTGATCTAGTTGTATTTGTATCTCACGTTCTATCATCAAATATATTCACACTTATTCTAATTGTAACTATATGTTACACTGTCATCTATGCTTGTTCTTCTGTAAAGCCTACTGAGACAAAAATGTTTTGT